GTAGAAGGTTGAGTTCCGTGCGCTGAAATGGCCCGAGAGGAATTTCTCTACGAAAAAATAACAAAAAAAAATTTTTTTGGACGGGAACTTAATAAAATAGACTATTGTCTTGGCTGAGTGATGCCATTTCTTTGCTCTTTGCGACGAAGAAGACAACTTGATTGAATTTTTATTCTCGCATAGCACGGTATGTGTTTTGTAACACAAAAAGCAAAAGCTCACATTGCGTTCTCAGTTATAAGCTTGTTTATATATGTTAAAAAGTTATTTACAAATTTCGATTATTAAAAAAAGCCAACTAAGCTTTTTTTTCCTCAAAGAAAATCACTTGCAAAGATTAATTTCGTTTTCTCCGAAAAAATAAATTTGTTTGCCGAAAGGAAATTAAAGGTAAAATTTTTCCTTGTTCCAAAAAAAATTTGTACATATTGTTGGTTTATTGATCAGCTTTCTAATAGGTTTGCATGATCGTTGACAGTTTTTCAACCATTTTAGATTGCTTGTAAGTTTTAAATTGTCACCCAATTCCAACATTAGAAAATGTGACTTTTTTTTACTCGAAGATTATTTTTCTCAATTTTACAAAATACTACTATTTTAAAAATTTATTATTACTATTATTATAGAAATCTTTTTTTTACTCCTTTCAAAGAAAATTATGAATTATGGAAGGTATAATAACATTAATCACAACGAAGAAGAATTTGGAGGGTTGATTCACAAGGGTCAGCTCATTCAAGAATTTCGGATAGGTCATATAGAAGTAATCATATGGTGGTTTGCATTGTGATGGTCATAGAAGAAGCGGATATTCTCAATAAAAATCGATATCGGTTTGAATAAAGAAAATGTATTGCGATAATTTTAAGGCAATAATAAGTTTGATATTTTTTTTCTTTAATTCTTGTTAAATATCAAATTTAAAATAAGCCTCGTATATTCTTTTTGAAAAATCAACCAAATTTTCATGTCTATTCACCAAATCATAAAGTTCATTATTATTATATAAAGATGATGAAGACGAAGATGAAGATGATTCAGCAAGCGATATAATTGGATGGATATATGAAAATACTATTGCATCCAACATAGTTGGTGATCTAAATATGAAAAGGAAAATTTTTTTTTTTTAATTGATACTTTTTTGCAAAAATAAAATAAATTTTCTAAAAAAATAAATTTAAAAAATTACTTTGATTCAAAGAAATATTGAAAATTGTTTAATTCAGTTGATAATGCACTTAACGTATCTGCAGCTTCTTCATAAATCTAACAACAATTAATTAATTAAATTTTCAATTCTCAAAACATTTCAATTAGTTCAAAACCAACCAATCAACTTACTTGATCACGATCCAGAGCTTCATTTCTTGTTAAAATCTCACCAATTACATTATTTGAAGCTTGATGAAATAATATTTTGTTTAATGGCCATGGATAATGTGATGAATATTTATAAAATGCTGTTTCTTGATTAGTTGGCTCACACCACATATTATATAACTAGATTATTATATTATTATGTTATTATTAAAATTGTTATGTTGTGATTGCTATATTTTTCTATTTCACACATGTTATGAGCATTTTTACCAAAGCATTTCGCAATTTTGTATCAGCTGTAGTAATATATGCTGCTGATTGTGCCTTTTGTTCTTCATTTAATTTACCAAGTTCATTAGAATTCTAAAAAAATATATTTATCAATTGATTAGATGAATGAATAGTTTATTGACTGATTGATTGATCAAAGGATAATATTACTTGTTCAATAAATAGTTCTAAATTATCATCAACCAACACTTCACCAGTTTCGAGTACCAGAAATGGTAATTTTTCTATGTTTTCCACCATAAAAAAATAAATAAATTAAAAAACAATGTGTAATTATTTAATTTTTATCAATAGTTAATGATGTTGTTACTTGATGGTGACATCAATGGCTCATTTGCATATTCTACATCAAATTTAATTTTGGTAAATTTCAAAATTGCCTAGAAAAATAAATTAAATTAAAAAATTAAATTACTTTTTTATCCAAGTCATAATTTTTACAATTATTTAAATTACTTAATTAAATGTGTCATAACAAAAATGAAATTGTTACCTGCCACTTTAAACAATCACAATCAAAAGAAGCTTCATTTGAAGAGAACCAACCAGGTCCCCAAATATACAAAGTTGGAAAATTTAATTCACGTTTTCTATGAATTGGTCTTGTGAGTTTTAAAGGAAACTTTGATAGGAATTGCCGTATGGTTTGGTTGATTGGATGATTGTATAATGTAGTTTTCCAACTTTCTTCTATTTCTGACATGATTTTTTTTTTTAAGAAATTATTTATTTGAAAAAAATGAGATTTGGAGATCACTATTACTATTATTCCAACAATTTTAGACATTTTAAAAAAGTATAAGATCATCATCTAATTTTTTCCCTTTTTAAAAATATATATTTATACGTATATATACATAACCAATAATTAATTCTATTAAACTCAATTAAAACTTTGAATATATTTGTAAAACTAAAGCTAATATACATATATATATAAGAATGGTTGATGTTTTTTATGCAAGATATTTCCTTATTTGTATTTCTTTGGTGAAGATTGACAAGGTTTTTTATAACAAACTTAACGTTGAAAAAAATAATAATAATAACATCACAACTTGGAATAAACGTAAGAGAAATAGTAATATAAATCAGGGATTAGAAGATGATCCTGGTTCTGATTCTGAAATTACTTCCAATTCTGACAAAAGCCCTTCAGTGTCCGGAATTGAATAAACTGATGACATTGATCGTATTTTAAAGAGAATTTTTTTTATTTTAGCAATACTAATAATCAACTTAATTTTGATGATTCTTTAAAAGTTGAGGATAATGATCAAACAGGAATTAATATTTATGATGAGAAAGAATTTGTTAATACATTTATCTGCTATTTGTGTTTTTCAAAAGATAATTTAGATGACAATGATCCTGGTTAAAGCTCTGAACGAGCCAAGCTGGCTGGCTAGTTGAAACCCGAATTTTCGAGCTCGAGCCAAGAATGATAGGCTCTAGTTGAATGTTCAGCTTGACTCGATAACTTGAGTTTGATGTCACGAATTTTTAAAAACATATAAAATTCGTTGAAACGTGATCAGTAATTTTGGTATAACGAATTTTAAATTCATTTTTAAATGTGTTATAGATTCGTCGAAACGAGGTTTAACTATACACATATATTTAGAACTCAAAAAACTTTTTTTTTTATTAAAAACACAAATATTGATATTGTTAAAACATGGAATCTTGAATTGTTTTCATTTGAAATTTTTTAGAGTTTGTGTGGTTGGCTTCCCAAAATTGATTCTTCAATGGCAAAGTGTGAACACAGGACAAGATTGTTTGGTAAACATGTTATTTATTATAAAAAAATTTTAAGCTAGCACTTTTTTATGTGAGAATGCCCAAAGGAAAATAAATTGTTTAACAAAATCTTTAGAGTAAGTCACCAATTTCAAAGAAATCCTTTAAAACTAAAGAAGGTAGCAAGTCGAGGTTTGTCTCAATAATATCAACTTTGGGTTACAAGAATGAAGGATTTTGTTTGAGATTTACACAAGTCGAAATCTTAATCATCTTTGAGCAGATTAAACAAGAAGCTTATGATGCAAATTAATAATTTGAAAAAATGCTATGTTTAAAGTTAGTTCAGGTCACAAATTAAATAAGAAAAAAATCCAAGGTTAGAAATGATACTTTAAATTTATAATTGTATTTAATTGTAGCAATATTAATATTTTGTAAATTTCTAATGATTTTATTATTAGAAGATTTTAATTTGCCCTAAAACATCTCTTATCAAATATATAATCAATTGTTAGCCCATCATATATTTTATATATAATCGTTGGTAGAATTACAATGACTGCTGCTACAAAATAATTGACTCCTGTGACATTGGGATTAGGTGGCAAGACTCCTGTTATCATTGCTGATGATGCTGATACCCAGATCACAGAAAACGTTTAATTTGGGAAAAATATTATTTTTATGATTTATTGATAATGAATTAAAGAAGCTCTTATGGGTAAAAGTCAATCAATACTATTTTCGATCATGTGATAGATCATTATATGAAGATGATAAAATGAAATATTTGGTCCAATCCTTTCAATTATGATTGTTGATGATTTTGATGAAGCTATTAACAGCAAAGACATTTATTCCATTATCATTCTGCGTCTAGCAAATATTGTGAGTTTGTGTTGGATATTTGAATATTAATTACTTATATTATGACGGTGTTTTATTTAGTGAGTGACAAGGTGATGTTTGTATTAATGATTGTTTGATGCGTTCATTGGTAAATTAAACTTATTACTATTATTATAATACATTTCCTACTCCTGTTCTTCCTATTCATCTTTAAAAGTTGCAACATTACCATTTAGTGGCTTAGGGACATGTAAAAGAACATTCAACACCTTTGCTCATGAAATATCTGTGTACACTTCTCCTTACCATGTTGAGGAATTGATAGAGTTGCGTTATCTACTTTATTAAGATATTATATTTAAATTTTTTCTTTAACCCCAAAATACAAGAAAAACAAATCAATCAACAGCGCTATTGATGATAATATTATTTACTGGAAATACCATCATATGCAGATGGTTTCCGAGTAGGTCTGACCTTTATCCCTGTGTTCAGAGGGATACAACTTTAGCCTGGCGAGGGATAAATATAAATGCACGGATATATCTCTGATCACCTGGTCCGTAGATCTTGAGTGAATTATCAGACCGATCCCAAAGATCGATAAGATTGATAAGGGGGATATCCCTCTTATATATTTTCCCAGGCTGAGGCTCTATCCCTACGAACTGAGGGATAGAGGTGTAACCTTTCGGAAATTGTCTGCATGGACTGGCCGATTATCTAGCCGTGTCTGTTTTGGCGCGATCAACGTTTTGTGAAATTTTTCGTTTTCGCTGGGTGGTAAATTTCAAAAAAAATATTTTTTTCCAACTGAAGAGAATTGTTTGGTAAAAATAAAAAATTTTTGTTTATTCTACATTTTAAGAAGAAATATTTAATTTCAACAATTGAATTCATTATTGTTTTTTGTTATTTATTTATTTTATCATATATCTATATACTAAGAATGCTTTTTTGGTGTGGCGAAGCAATTTTTTTCGGATGACTTGGAAATATATAAATTTTTAACAACTTTAAATTTTCCAAAAATTATTTTAATTTCTATCTACAGTATATGGAATTTTTGATCTTTGTAATGCATTGTAAGAAAAAAATCTCTATAAAATATTATTGTTGTTGTTGAGTTATATATGTACAACATAAAAGTTTAATTGTCATTATTTATGTAAAGAAGAAAAAGATCCCGAGCCAGGAAATAAATGAGAGTAAAAATAGTCATCTATTTTGGTTGATGATTATTATTATTCACAGAAATTTGTTTCAAAAAAAGAATAATTATTAATCATAAAAGATTTCATTTCATATTATTTCCCTTCAAGGGATTTCTGTTTTTATCTTCATTTTCTTAATTCTATATATCACTTAATATTAAGAAAAAAACAAAGATAACAAATTAAAACGGGTGATTTAATAATCACATTACTAAATTTTGATCCCTGAAATTCTTGGTAATACCAATGTTCACTTTGTCTGGTTTTGTTGCAGCATGCCCCGTATGCATTCAAGGTTACAGCAGTTTATTAATCACAAAATCAAGGTTTCAGCATGATGGCCACAAAGCTGCCTACAGCTGTCATCAGTGCAATCAAGAAAAAAATATAAATGTTAGAAAAGTTGCATTCAAAGCTATTACTTCTGCTAAAAACAAGGATAACTGATTCAACTCAATTCCATTCAATTGTTGTCGTCCAAAAAGAAAAGATATAGGTTTTTAATGAATTATAAATAATTCATTGGTAATAATAATGATGATGATGACAATGATGATTAATAGAATAAATATTGTCATATCTAAACAAATAAACATTTTATTTCTCTTCCCCTTCTTTATTTGAAGATATTTTTTGTCAATATTGAAGGTCTGCTTGATACAAAATCCCATCATTTTCATCTTCTGTCTTATCTGATGATTATATCTCATTTCTTTAAGGGTTTCTATAAGAAATATATTTATATTTATATATTAAATTAACAACAATTACAAAATTTTCTTCCAACTTCACTACAAAGTAATGATGTATGACGAAACTTTTGACTTTAGTCATTAACGCAACTAAAGTATTGGCTAAAGGTAGTTTCTTACCAGGGCCATTTTGGCGATTTGACTAAAGTAAAAAGCCCTTGGTGTAAGTAAAACCAGTAAAAATGCTTGATACAATCAGCAATAATGATAATGATATTCCAAATTATGTAAAATGTGTGTCCCGGGGATGAATAAAGAATAATTATATCATTTCAAGAAGAATAATTATCATGGGAAGTTTACAATGTTATAATTTGAATTAGAAATTTTACTTAATTAAACTACTTATTTTTTTCCTGTGCATTGTTTTCTGTTTATCAATTTTAAGTAAAAAATGCTGAAAATTCTTTTATATGATAAATCGATCACTAGAGTTTGGTGATGATGAAGTTCTTTAAATAAAACATCAAAAAATGTTGCACGAATCTAAATTATTATCATTATTAACAGTAAGAAGAGAATTTGTACGTAAAATTGACAATGAAATGTTTAATTATGTATGCAACAGTAAAGTAGAAAAGATTTTTTTTTTCATTAGTCAACAAAAACAAGGAGTTTTCTGAAAATGAAAAAGAATATTATAAGGAACATTTTATTTATCAGGTTGAATTATCCATTCTTTCCTTTTAGTAATTTTGTATCTTTAAAATTATAATTAAACAAATCTAATTAAAATATGCCCATGTTAAAATATTTTTTTTCGAATAAAATAAATAATAAAATAAATTGGACTTTTTTTACTGATTATTTGATAAAGCAGCTTCAAAGTATAAGGACCTTGCTTTAAAATTGTGGAATATGCTTTGAATGTTTTAACATCCTGGTCTTCTCCGACTTTAATTTCTACATCCTAATAATTTGTTTTATTTAACAACTTTGTTAAATCATTTACAAGTTTACTAATATATATTTTAATGGTCAAATAACATGTTCATATTCTCTATGAAAACTCTTGCTAGACATTGTTTATTATATACTTGTAGGTGAAAATATAAAAATATATTAATTTTTCCTTATTAATTTATACACTTCTAATTTTTCTAACAAATGAACTTTTTTATCACTATTTTTAAGATTCCAAT